TTGGTTCAGTTCAAACCTGTTTAATTAGAATCGATCGGATCTTAATTAGAAGATTACACCTTCTGAGGAAGAAGCACTGTGTTGCTTTTATCAGTCAGAACGAACCCCATGTTGGATTCTGTCTGCAACTTTCCCATAACAAGAAAGACTCAAAGTAGAGAAGATAAAACCTTACAAAAGAAAAACAAAAAGAAATGGTACTTGTTATATAGATGGAAAGTTGTCTAGCGGTGTGCCTCCACTGTTACCTTTTGTGAATAATTAATTCCTCATTGCATGATTAAATCACAGAATTTGGTGCACAATAATTTCTGTGAAAAAAACAGTTGTTTGAATTTCTCTGACGATAAAAGTCATACTGCTTTCCTCAACGTATAAGTAGTCAATTAAACTGTAAATTACATGAATATGTAGTAGACCGGCCTGGTGAGTTTATTAAAAAAAAACAAAAAACAAAACAAAAGAAAAGTGAAAGTAAGGTAAAGAAAAACAAAAGTAAAAAGTTTAAACAAGAAAAAAGAAAATAATTCGGAAAACTGAAATGTGATGCACTATTTCTTAATATCCCGTAAGTTACCCGCAGAAACTGATGTAAGAAATGCTGGTATCATTATAATAAATTTAAAATTATGAAACATTTATATGGATAATCGTAACCATGTTAAGTAGCAAATAGAGTACCTGAATCTAAATATGTAATTGGAACAAGTGAGTGACAATATGTACCTTGTGAATAATTGTACCTTAATGCTTAAACAGATTGATGACTGAGATGTGGGATTAAAAAAAATAGTGTTATCCATTTCATAATAGAGTTCTTTTGATGACTTAAACTTTTAAAAAATAAAAAGCTAAAATAAGATAAGGACACCACAATTTATAGAGATTCGGATTGAGATGTTGAACTCTACTTCCTCTCCACAAGTATGAAACTTGAGAATTTTTTGTAGTTAGTCATTGTCATACAATACACATTCACCTCAACATTTACCAATCCAATATAAAGACAGCAATCAAATTTTTGATATCTCAAATTTACCCTCATTTTGGTTTTGATCCCTCAAACTATAGGTTTGATTCTTCAAAGGGCAAAATCTAGGTTTATATTAAATTATATAGATCAATATTTTAAATAAAAAGAAACATGAGAAACTACAAATTATATTAACCCACATTAAAAATAACCTATTTATCATTTTGAAATTTTATAGATATTTTATGGTCATTTTTCCAAAATAAATTCTTTTTTTTGGACTAATCAAGTTATATATGTACATGAATTAAATAAACTTTCGAAGGGGATTGCATGAAGAAGTTTTCGTTTTTTTTTCCCTTAATGTTTTTCATAAACCTGTTTTTGCCATTGCCCTGAGTCATGTAAGTATGTAAATAGGCGTTTGAACTTTGTAATTCGTTCGTGAGTTAAATTTCATGATTCTTTATTTTTTAATTATTTTCTATTTCATGTATATCAATTGCTCATAGAGAAAATTAGTTCTTGTTGGATAGAAAAGAAAAGGAATGAAAATTGGGAAAATGATACAAAAAGATATTGGAAATTATAATATTTCAATATAATTCAGGTACATAAGAAGTTAAAATTTTAGGAAGGAAGTCGTGCTTAAACTCATATTTTGCAAATGTAGTCAAATGACTAAAATATCCCTATATCATATTTTCTTTATAAAAAAAGTATCAAACTTGCCATTATCTGTACATTTTTTATTATTAGTTGTTTAATACTTGTCATTATTAATTTACAATTTATTAATAAACAATTTGTCATTACTGATAAGTTTCTTGTCATTTGTTGTTTAATACTTATCATTACCAGTTTATAATTTGTCAATAAAACTTGTTAATAAACTCTTTGATTTAATGGCATTTTTGCCATTTAACTATATTTGTAAAATATCAGATCAGGCATCATTTTTTCCTTAAAATTTTGATTTTTTTTAGATGCTTGAATTGAAATATTATATTTTTTAACTTCTTCGTCTATCATTTTTCTCAAGCAAATTTTGCCGGAAAAATTTGCCCTTTGAAACAATTTCAACGTAATATGCATGTGTCGGTGGGTAAACAGGTCGGTAGTTGAGGCCTGTTGAGTGAACAATCCTACGCTCTACAAGGACGCACGTTCGTGGGGTTGGGGTAGCTGAATACTTGAATACTGCTTCGATTTATATACAAGTCCCAGCATATTACATTATAACAAAGAAAACATTTAAAAATTCATTAACTATGTCTTAAAATCTGCACACATGTTTTTTAAAAGAAAAAAGCAATGAAATGAAAGATAAAATGTATGAAACATGCACCAAATCAAACAATAACCAACAGCAGTAGTAGTGCTTTTAAAATATTATTTTATGTTGGACGTATCTTAACTATACTTGTTATCAGGTTGTTATAATTTCATTTGATTTTTAATTAAGTCTTTGTAGTTTCAAATTCCTGAGAAAAAAACTATAAGAACAAATGACCTGATTTTAAAAAAAAAAACATTGGATAGACTCAATTAAAATTATGGTGAAACCAGAAGAACCGGCAAATTAATTTTCCCGGCAAAATTAAAGCATGACACGCTTTCAGCAACTCCTCCAAAAAACAAAAAGGCAAGATGCTGCTGGAAGTATTAACAGAAATTTGATCCCTGATCTATAGTGCATCTGAAGGCTTTCTATTTCTTCAGTCAGTAGGAAAAGAAGAGGTGCGTTAAAAACCAGAATTCTCACACTTTATACAATGTCTGGAAATTGCAGCTAAATTGTGGAGAATCCAAAAGCCGTTGTGAAATAATACACAAATGAAAGAAATGAGTTAATCTGTTGCTTATAAAAATTGGGATTCAAGGGAGTGAGCCTTCTTTCAAACTTGTACAATAATCACTTAGTACCACCTCATTCACTGTTTAAATTGAAGGTATAATATGATTTGTGAAAAATTAATCATAGTTATTACCCAAAAGAAAACTAATTAAATATAAAATTTATGATTTAAAAAGCAAAAAAAAACATAAAACATAAAACCCGAGCAAGGAACACACAGGAGGCAACATGTTGCTTTATAAGAACATGCACCCAAAAAAATCATGTTTTCAAGAGGAAGAAAATTCTGAATCAACAAAAACAACACATTTGGTAAACGAATTTAATTGAAAGGGAAGACTTAAGAAATCTATAAAAGAGAAGATTTCTGAGTAATGGAGTCAAATTCAATGAAATGTACATCTGCATGTAAATTGACACTTTGACAGTGTAAAAGCTGGAGAATGGGAGTGATATGGGCAAAGAGTAGTATAGACAATACTACATGCAATAGATAGCACTTTTTATTTAAGACTTGTTAAAGAAATGCGTGTATCAGAACAAAACAGGGGAAAAAAAAGAGCCATTACTCATTATCTCACTTGAACTTTTATAAATTATAAATTTCTTCTTTCCTTGGTATAGATGGAATCATCCCAAGATCACAATCTGACTGTAACAAAAATAATCAAAACACTTTTTTAAGCACATCATTTGTTAGGAATGACTTCAGTAGAATGACATCTCAGTTGCAAGGAAATTTGGTAAGATTGAATGACACAATTTATATCCTTTACATTCACGCATTCAGAGATAATTACACAAGAATGAAACTGTGTGCGCAACTTGTTCATTTATTTCTGTGAACATAGAAAAATTGAATTATGGTATGCTTCTTGATTCCGTTCGTAGTAAGAGTCCACATCAGTTTATTGAATAAATCTTACGCTTTATAATTTGAAGTACTAATGAATATGCGGTGTGGCAAAAGAAAATTATGAAAACAAAAGCCTACAGAACTACAGAAGACACTGCGGAGATATTGTTCGTCACAAACACTTTTCTCACAAGTAGGCTAAGTAAATAATTGAGCAGTTATCTGAATACCTCAGCTTATCATTAGTGTTAGAGCCACCAAAAGCAAGGATTCTGGCCATATCTCTTTGTTCTTAATCTAACCCCTCTCGCACCAAAATTATGCGAGTAGAACATTGCCGTCAGAAATTGATTTAATGGAGCATAAAAATGTGGATAAAAGGAAGTTATGTAATATCAAACTAAATCTGAAATCAGTCCCGAAGAAATACATAAGTTGCAGGTGAAAATGGTACGCAATACACATATTTCATCATGAATGGGAATAAAAAGAACAAAATAAAAAATCACAATATGTCATACAGTTGATGAGTGTCTTTTCCACCACAAAACACAGGGCTTCATTTTTGTTAAGAAATTGTCATTTTCCCCAGAAAAAGAGACAGAGCCAGTTCAAAGGAAAGAAATAATAACCTCATGAAAGGCGCTGATATCATATGAAATGCATATTACATACTCAAAATTCATCCTAGGTCACAAAACCCGAATATTGTCAATGGAAATATTTGGAATGTGGGAAATTTTGGGCCAAATTTCCCCATTCTTTGCATGGCACAATTCTCCAAGTAAAGAACACCGATAGATATTGAGATGTGTGAGAGAGGCAGGCAGCATTTGTCCTATTATTCTTTGTAGCTTGGGGCATTGCCTGATTCTTAATTCTTGAAGAGATTTTAGATTAACAAATCCCCTGCAGTCCAATATTTCCAGACTTGGATAGCTGCTAATGGACAAAATGGCAAGAGAAGAAGGCAACAAGCACTCCTCTGAGAACAATTGTACACAATCATCATATTTACCAGTTATTGAGAGAGTAGTGAGACTGCGTAAAGACTGCCACTCCATAGAACAACATAGGCATGAAAACGCCCAATGATCAATATAAAGAGACATCAAATTAGGTGGCAGACTCCTCCCAGGAACCCACTCAATCCCTGGGCAACCGCTTAATGACATATGTTTTAACATTAGAAGATTCATCCTGAGATCAAGCAATGACTTCAAGTAACAGCATCCTTCTAACTCCAAATGAGTCACGTTGGGTGCAAGCAAACTCTCTAGTGGAAAGATTCAAGACTGGGGCAATCAATCAGCTTAATGCTTGAGATGCAAACAAGCAACCCTTGTAAATACAACAGATTTGAGATTCTTACAGCCGGTCATTATGAGTTGTTGGAGATTAGGAATGTTATGTGATGACAAGCAAGAAAGTGTCTCAGAGCTATTAGTTATAATGATGGACTCCACAAGTTCAAAATGATGTTGCCCCAAAAAATCCATATTTTTACAACCACTGATATATATTGATCGAGCCCTTGGGATAGAAGCTGCCAAGTGATCACATCCATCAATGCGGAGTGTTGCCAAATCAGGAAGGTAACTAGGCAAATGATCACTTAATCTAGGACAATCCTTTAATGTGAGATGTTTCAGTTTAGGAAAAGCATTTATGGGACATAGGCTCCCCCATTCCTGCAAGACAGGCATCTCTCTAAATTCGAGAATTTCGAGGGATGGAAAGGGTGTTGCCAAAAAAGTATCATCATTTCTCTTGTAGAACTCAGGACTGATCTTCACCAATGCATCAAATCCTTCAATCTGTAGCGTTTGAAGAGAAGGTAGTTGCCCAAGTGGCGGCAACAGGCTGCAATTGAAGCAATCATAAAGGATCAATCGAACCATTTTGCAGTACAATGGGCATCCTAACCAATTTGAGAAAGCAGTTGCATTATATCCATAAATATGGAGACATTTCAGGTTCACATGAGGCTGTAGATTGTCAAGTGTCTCTCTTGACCTGGCAATATCACCAGCATCATTCCATGTCAGAGATAAAATTTCAATTGACCGCTTATCTACCAATCTTGTCCCTGAGGCTTCCTCACCATTGGATACATGCTGCAAGTTCATGATTGTTAAGGATGAGCTGAGATTTTGAAGTCCATCCAATTCTTTAATTCTAGCCCCTTCAACTCTATTCAATACAAAGTCACTCAGAAAGTGCAATTTTTTCAATTCACCAATTCCTCTTGGCATTGCTTGTAATTGAGAATGAGAAGCATCAAGGTATCGCAAGCTCACAAGCTTCTTCATGTCATTGGGCAGCTTGGTCAGACCATCACAACCTCTCACTATCAGCATTTGTTGATTGTACAAGAGGCATAAATTGTCCGGCAACTTTTTGATACTAGTTCGAGAGAGATTTAAATAGCGCCAATGGATCAATTTGTTTATTGAATCTGGCAATGCCCCAGACAAGACATTGTAGAGTGATAATACACGCAAGCACTTAAGCTTTGAAAATCTGTTTGATGGCACAAACCCACCACACTCTTTCCTCACAAGAATTGTCCGCAAAGGTTTTGCTTTGCTTATAGAGCTAAAGTCTCCTTCTCCACAAAACACATGGCGTGTCATGTCAGTAATTTCATTTCCCTTGCCAGACTGCAGCTGTAGCTGTAGAATTTTCTCGCTTCAGATGTTGCTAGGTCATGGACAAGGTCATACATAACAAAAAATCTATTAGACTTATAATGACCAAGGGCTGAAAAAACGATCTTGAAACTAAATCATGCAAATACTCTTCCCCCACTTCTTCTAAAGTCTTCCCTTTCATTGATGTCTCTAAGAAACCTTCAGCCATCGACCACAAGATTAATTCCCCTTTCTCAAATTCATAATCTTTAGGAAACATGGAACAATAGACAAAACATTGTTTTAATTGTGGAGAGAGATAATGATAACTGATTCTTAAAGCTGGTAGAATTTCACTCTCCTCCTCTGACAAGTCCCACATTTCACTCTTTAATATCATATTCCAATCCCTAATATCACGTTTGAAGCGCAAAAGGCCTCCCAGAGTTTTGGCAACTAAAGGGAGCCCCTTACATTTGTTAACAATATCCCTACCAAGGCTTTCTAGATTTGAATCCACCACAGAATCCATGTAGAGACATGCATGTTTTGCAAATATCAACCAACAATCATCATCAGATAATTGACCTGCATGATAGGATGAAAGAGTTCGGACAACTGAAGCAACCTTTTCACTACGAGTTGTTACGAGGATTTTACTCCCTTTGGTCCCAGATAGAAAAGGTCTTCTTAAAAGATCCCACTCAAGATAATTTTCATTCCAAATATCATCTAAAACAATCAAGAATTTCTTCCCACATAACATCTCCTTCAGATCAAGTTGAAGTAAATTTAAATCTTTCATATCACAAGCATGAGACGTGACAGACTCTATTATATTATTGGTGATCTTAGGGACATCAAATTCTTCAGAAACACAAACCCACGCTCTAAGATCAAATTTTTGCTTCACTTGATCATTATTATATACTACTTGGGCCAATGTGGTTTTCCCTATCCCACCCATACCCACAATGGGCATGACAGATATCTTGTTATCATCGATGTCATCAGAAAGCAACAACTCAAGTATGGCATCTCTTTCATTATCTTGCCAAACACATCAAATTCATCAACGAGGGATCTTGACTGATGCCTCCATGACAAGTTCTCCCTTTTCACACCATCTCTCAAACCAAGAATATCTTTGTGCTTCAAAATTGATTCGAGTCTGTCAACTACGTCATCGATCTTGAAATTTATCTTTCGAGCATTCAGGTCAAAAGAGCAATAAAAGCATTTTTCTACCTCAACTCGAGTTGCGGCTTGAGTGGAAATCTCGTCTATCAAGTCATCGGCGTGATAAATCGCATCTCTGAGATCATCCAGCCAACTCTTCACAGCTGAATCAGTGATCTGCTTTTGATCAGCGTCATGGAGCACGGCACCAGCAGCATATAACGTTGTCTTCAACCTTTGGAGTGACTTTTCAGTAGACTTTTTCCCACGTAAGAAGGCCACAACGTTTGGAGAGGCAATCCGATCAAAAATAACCTGAAGAAATGCAGAGAGAAGAGGTCCACCCACAAGTTCAGCCATGAGTGAGTAGCTTGTCTGTAAGAACTATAGAAAAAACATGGGGGCTTAATTTGTTGGTTTAAATTCGATGCAAAATTTCCAGAAGGAAAGATAAAATGCGTTGACTCACCGGCCAAGGGGCCCACGCGACCTCTGTTGAAACTTGAAAGTAGAAACAGTCCTTCTCCCGGATCACTTAAAAATTAGTATCATCGTTAATAATTATAAAATCTTATTTATAAATTACAAATAAAATATAAACAAAATTTGATAATTAGAATTGGAGGTAATAAACCCCTTTCTCGTCTTTCTCTTCTCAAGTGCAGACTTGCCTTTCAATTTGAAAAAAAGAAAAACAAAGAAACTACGAGGAGAATTTCTGTGCAAAAAAAAAAAAAATAGCACGCATGAAATTAGAAATGAAAAAAATAAGAATAAATGTTTCACATTATTTATATATAGTAAGTTGAAAGAAATATTTTACATGATTTATACCAAAATTTGATGCGGTTATTTTTCATGAATTAAAAAGGGAGAAGCGAGAAGATCTTTACACACTTCAATTTTCTTTACATGTTGTCTAAAATCTGCATTGTAATAAATTCTCAATCTTAATGATTGGAGTAGTAGTGGGAGACTGAGACAAGGTAGTGGATCAGGTTTTGGAGCCATTTTTCCCCCTAATAATTTCATTTACGATCCTACGGTTGAGTTTGCTACTATGGATGTTATAAACTTATAATTGAAGCTGTCATTATGCAACGTTGATCTTCCTACCTTAATTGATTCCTTGCAATTTGGATTGGCTCTTGATGAATTCAATGAAAGTAAGTTTGAAATAACAGTAGGATTGCTTTAATTTTCAATTGTAATTTATGAAATACGAAGTAATTATACGATGAGAGTTTTGTGTCAATTTATGTAAACATGATTATAAACACTTAATAAAAACAGCTCCAAGAAAACTTTCAAATGGATGGGTTCTATTGCAGCATCCCAAAAATATTTCTTCAGTTTGCCGACTGGGGGCACGATCAATCTCACCAAAATCTTGAGAACGAAGGTTCATCCATGTCTTAAAGAAGCTTACTTCACTTCAAATCATGAAACAATAAAACATCCTTGCTCACTTTTTATCATATATCCCCATCATGCCTTACATCTGTGGCGTTATTTATGCACTTATATTTTTTTTTATTTCCACAATGGGCACCTCGGTCCTTGCTACTTGTTGGCAATGATGATCTTTAAGTTGACCTAAATTTTCTGAATTTTCATGCTACAAGTTTTACCGAGGCTCTCGGGATTTTTGCTGTATTATTTGCTACATTCTTGAAGATGAATGATAGCCCAAGTGTACTTAAGATGACCAATGTTTTCCCACAAGAAGTTAGTACAATATAACTCTATGATAACAACAAGAATTGGTTTAGTTAATGAGGAGTTGTTTTATAACCCACAAGGTCATGAATTTGAATCCCGCTACTGATATGAGAATCTTGTTGGTAAGTAATCTGTAAGTATCTCTGTAAGCACTCTTTGAACTTAGAGGCACGTCCTGACCCTGATAAGCTCCTGGTACCCAACTCACATAAACTTTTGTATACCCAAGGGGAAAAAAACTCATATGATTGTCTGCTGCAACTTCTTTCATTCCTTCTGCAATTTTGTGGCTGCCCCTTCCTCTATGTTTGTAACTTTCCTTTTATCTTGTTTTGAGACTGTCAAGTAAGTATGTTTTTAAGAGTTTTTTTTCCTCCAAAAAAGATCATTACAAGTTGCAGATGGGGAGGTATTTTTGTAATTAAAGATGATGATCTTATACTGCATAATCAAGAAGCATGTAAATTGAATATTTGAGAATCATTTACTCAAGTCAATATCAGTGAATGAGATTTTAAATGTGCCTTTGGTACCAAAAGCAACGCAAAGTTTGTGTCTGGGACAAATCCCTCCTTTTCCATGTTGTTAAGAATGCCCCAAGGAATTTACTTGCTTTTATGGGCACTTCATCAATGAGATTCTCTGATTCTTCGGATGAGTCTGATCTGGGCAACAAATTAACAACACATGCAGAGTGATTTGTTGTGTATGCTTCAGTCCATGGTTCTCTTTTATGGAATGGAAATATAATCCTTTTGATGATTTTAAATTAAATTAAAATAAAATAAGATGAGACGACGATGTATAGAGGTTCAGATTCAAAGAATTGAATCCTACATCATCTTCCCAAGCATGAAGTTTGAGAATTTTTATAAGTAATGAGAGTATTCATAATACATTATGCATAATTCATCATATCATTTACACACCAAACCCAAAAAAAATAGAAAATCAGTACACAAATGTAATGCATACTGCCACCAAAGTATCTGTGAAAGAAAGGCAAAAAAAAAAAAATAATAATGCGCATGAGTCACACAAATTAAAGGACACTCCCAGCAAATAAGAGAATCCTTGTCAAGAAAATGATGAGCGTTTCTTCTCGGTTCAGGTTTAAGTTTGCAAATTTCCTTCCTGTCCTTGTTGATATGCTGTATTTTAAGCATACAAAAGGGAAGTCAAGAGACAATATAAGGGAGAGGGGGGAAAACAGAAATGGCAATCCATCATCCTCAAGTAACTTGCTAAGTTGATCACAATCACAGTTATAAGGTAGATTAACGAAACAAGCAATTAAGAGAGAAAGAAGAAATCAAAAGCTTTAGTTCACTTCAAACCTCTAGAGAATAGGAATATATGAAGGATCTTGATTTGAGCATTATACTTTCTGAAGAAGAAGCACTGTATTTCCTTTATAAATTAGAACAAGCAAACCATGTTGGATTCTCCCTGCAACAACCCCATAATAAGAAAAACTCAAACAGCTAAGACCAAAAAAAAATCGCTTAAAGAAACAAAGAAATGGCATTTGTAATAGAGACAGAAACTTGTCCAGAAGTGTACCTTTACGGTTACAATTTGCAAATATTTTCTCATTACATGATTGAATATTGTATGAGCCACAAAACATTTTGAAGAAGGTCTTAGAAGAGCTATTGATATAAGCTTCGTGGGGTCTACATCTCTGCATAAATTTGAAACCAAATGGATTACTTCACTAATCTTTGCTTGAGCGTAGGATATGTAATTAAATTAGCCACAGTAACAAATTAATGCTTTGAACCATCATCAATTGTTTATCAAAATGCATCATTCTGTCATCAAATATTTGTAATAATTTAACATAAACAAACGAGATTGCTACCACCATTTAATTCATGAAGTAGCAAAACGTAATACTTGGGAACAAGAGTGTGGACAATAAATACCTCGTGGATGATTATATTGCATCTCATATCTCAGATGAATTGATCAGTGGGATGTGGGATATCTGACGCAAAAGCTGTTCATCCCTGTTGCGGTATTTTTCTTCAAGCAACAAACAATCCTGAATGTGAAGCTTTTTTAAAGAAACAGGCAGCTTTTCTCCTAACATTTTCTCCAGCTTGGGACAAGATTTGATATTTAGACATTGCAAAGAGGTTAGGTGCTGAAGTCCTGTGCAATTCAATGTCTCCAAGTTACCAAAGGAATTGAGTTCCAAAGTGGTAAGAGTAGAAGGAAGAGAACACCCCTCTGGAAAACACTTGACATGGCTATCATGTGGGAAAAAAATACAAAGGTAAGTGATATTACTGAGGAGGTGCCATGCTGCTTGATGGGATAATATGAACTCCATATTACACCATTCAATGTGAAGTTCTCTCAAACTCGGCACAAGAATCCCTTCTGGAAATTCTTCCATCTTGTCAACACCACATATGCTTAGCTTTCTTAAACTTGGGAGGAGACTTTTCATGTCATCTGATATAAACTTCAGAAAAACACAACCCCCAATATGAATAGACTGGAGATTTTGAAGAGGAGCAGTTGGACTCATCACAAAGTCAACATTTTTACACCACTGTACATTTAATTCTTGTAATAAAGGGGGCAAATGAATCATTGAAGAAGGTGATATGTTGGAGCAATCACTGATAGTTAATTGTTGCAGATGCGAACGTTTAGCAAATGAGTCCAACATTGATTCCAACATCCAACATCCTGAAATATCTAGAGTGCAAAGTAAAGGAGGTAATTCTTGCTCTTGCCATACCATATTTCCACTTTTAAATGCATGTAAATTCTGAAGTTTGGGACACTTTGGAATACAAGAAGAAAACAATGAACAGAATTTAATCTCCAGAGTTTCTAAAGAAAGCAGCTGGAGAGGTAGACTTCCAGCTAATTTGTTGCAAAATGATACTGTGAGTAGCTGGAGTTTAGGGAAAGCTTCGGTGTTAATGGAATGCCATTGTTCCCAAGAAGCCATCCTTGAAAAGTGAAGATATTCAAGGGATGGAAATGGTATCATGGAAGCACAATTATCACCCTTCAAAAACTCATCACCAACGCTCACTACACTTTCTAATCTAATAATGTATAATTTCTTCAGAGCAGGGAGTTGCCCAAGGGAAGGAAGCATGCAACAGTTTGTGCAATTCTCTAGCCGCAAAGAAGTCATTTTGTGGTAAGAAGGACTTCCCAACCAATCAGAAAATATGGTGCCCCTATAACAAATGATTTCCAGTTCTTCTAAATCCCAATGAGGCTGAAGATGGGCCAAAACATCTTTCTCAGTTCTTGTATCTTCCACATCGCCCAAATCAGACCATGATAATGTTAAATTTTTAATTTGCTTCTTCTCCATCATTCTCGCATCAGAGGCTTCATTTTCATTCTTGACATTCTCTAAATTGCTAACTGCAATCCAACCCTTCAATTTTGAAATTCCTCCTAATTCACCAATCCCAGTTTCTTGTTCTTTGCCGACAATGAAGTCACTTAGAAATTGCAAATCTTTTAATTTACCCAATCCCCTTGGCATTTCTTTCAGTTTAGTGTTTCTAACATCAAGATGCCGCAAGGTTACAAGATATTGCATATCACTTGGTAGCATCTCTAAAGACCTGCAATGATTCAACCTCAATGTTTGTAGATTGTATAATTTGCATAGTGAGTGGGGCAAACCTGCAATACTGCTTGATGAAGACAAATCCAAATAGCGAAGATTTACAAGATCTTGCATGTCACTTGGTAGAATCATGAGAAAAGAACAATAGCACAACTTCAAGGTTTGTAAATTATATAATCTACAGATTGAATTGGGCAAATTTACAATGCTTGTGCCAGATAGATCTAAATAGCGCAAGTGGACAAATTTCCCAATTGACTCAGGAACTGTCTTTAAAGTAGATAGTTCTCTAAGTGACAACGTTCGCAGGTGCTTCAGATTCGATGAAAGAATATGAGAAGCATTTTCAACAGTCTTAAGGATATAGGAAAAATTCAATCCTATAAATGTTCGCAAGCCTTTTGATTTCTGGAAAACCCCCCGATCTAAGCAATGGCAATTTTGAAAGTCGCAAGACAAATGACGAGTCATCGTGCCAATTTCATTTCTGTTCTCCCCTAATCTAAAGTAGAAGTCTCCAGCAACATGAGTTGCTAATGCATGAATGAGATCATGCATGACAAAGCACCTATCACTTTTATTACACCCGTGTGCAACGTATACATAACTTTCAGGTAAGGATTGAAAGAATGATCTTGAAGTTAAATCATCAAGATACCCATAACCAACTTCTTCTAGAGTTATGTTCCTTTTTGACGGTTGCAAAAAACCTTCTGCCATCCACATCAAGATTAGTTCCTCCTTGTCGAATACATAACCCTCTGGAAATAAAGAACAATAAGCAAAGCATTGTTTTAAATGGGGAGGGAGATAATAATAACTAACTTTTAAAGCTGGAATGATCTCATTGTCCAATGAATCCCACATGGCATCTTCTAATATATTATTCCAGTCATCAAAGTCACACTTTGATCGAAAAAGCCCCCCAAGTACTTTTGCAGCTAAAGGTAATCCTTTACACTTGGTAACAACATCTTTTCCAATTTTTTCTAAGCATGATTTCACGACTGAATCTCTAAAACTGAAAGCATGTGCAGCAAAAATTGACAAACAATCTCTGTCAGACAAGGCATTTAGGTGGTAAAATGATGAGATAGTTTTAACCATCAAAGCCACATGCTCTATGCGAGTTGTGACAAGAATTGTACATCCTTCCACTCCATTGTGAAGCAAATTTTTCAAATTAACCCAATCAGTATAGTTTTCGTTCCAGTAATCGTCCAGAACAACTAAAAACCTCTTTCTTTCTAACTTCTCTGCCAAATGACGTTGAAGAAGATGTAAATCCATATTATCACAGACAAAAGTAGGACTGATAAATTTTATTATAGTCTGTCCTATTCTCAAAAGATCAAATGTCTCAGAAACACACCCATGCAGTATAATCAAATTTTTGCCGTACATAATTATCCTTATATAATAAGTAAGCTAAGGTGGTCTTTCCAACTCCGCCCATGCCCACAATTGGGATTACAGACAATTGATCACCATCCTCATTAAACATAAGCTTAGTTATGTCTTGTTTTTCTTTCTTCCTTCCATACACTTTAGAGACTTCCGCTTTACAATATGGAACTTGACGCCTCATTGACATGGTCTCTGTTCCACTACTTTTCTCCAATTTAAGGTAATCTCTTTGTCTCACAATATGTTCAATTCTGTCAGTGATCGCTTCTAACTTATTTGCCATGCTTGTATCACGCAAATTAAGAGAAGCAAAAGAGAAATAGCGCACCTTTTTCTGAGCGGCAGCTTTGGTGAAAAGTTCATCCATCAATTCTTCCAGGTCATAAACAACATCTTTGAGTTCGTTTAGCCAATCTTTCACAGCAGGATCCGTAAATTGTTTCAATTCTGCGTCATTCAGCACAGCTCTTGCAGCAATCAAGGATGGCTTCAAATGATGAAGTAACTTGTTATCGAGCTTCTTTCCACAAATGAAGTTGATCAAGTCAGCCTGTTCAGGGGTTAACCTATCCAAAAGGACATTGAAGACGCCAGAGAGAAGAGCTTCACCCACAAGTGATCCAGCCATAATCTCTTCGGGATGAGTGATATTTCTGAAAATAGTGAAAATGCTCGCGAACTTTGCACAGAAAGGGAGATGAAATAATATACAGGCCAGGGCTCGATTTGTTTGACCTCAAAAGCTATAATTGTTGTATTAAAGGGGAAAAAAAAAAGCTTTAGCTGTTCAAGTCCAATCATGTTGAATTTCGTTCAACGTGGGGCAGTTAGCCATCTACCTCAAGCAGTTGGATATACATTTTTCTTTTGACCTGAAAGCACTTAGAATTTAAAGCATTGCTTCTTGGGGAGCATAGAAATTTTTGTATTAAATAAATAATTTTTCTTTTTTTAATCTACAAAAATTTCTTTTTGAGAAAATGACCCCAAAAAATAAAAAATTTGTAAATGCCAAATAAAAAATATCAACAAAACTTTATTGTCATTTATAAATTTATTGTTGTCAACACCAAATAAAGTATTATTATAAAACATATTTTTGGATTTAGTAATTTTTAACTTCTTTTTTTACTATTTTTTTCTTTATTTTTTGGAACGGATATAAATTTCTTTATTGTATAATGAGGAATTCAACAATATTATACTTCTGTCCATAGTCCATCCTATCCTTGTGTGCCATTAGTCAAGCTGGCTTTATATTGCTGATATATTTTTTATTAAATATTTTCATTTTGTATATCCGTTAAATCTTTTTTCCCTCGAAGAGATTATTGTATAGACGAACATTGCATATATAATAATTTCTGCTCTCGAAAGACCCAGAAATAGAATAATATTGTTGTTGTGATGCCCAACTGCAAATTAAAGCTAGATAGTCTAAATTTAAAAATTTTCTATTTATGATTTTTTTTTAAATTGAAAGTTCATTCTGTTACACGATAACAACAATTAGAAGCATATTTTTATTTAAGACTTTATATTTATGAAAACAAAAAATTGTTAAAAAAATTGAAATAAAATAACTCAGATTTGGTGCAAAACCAATCCTTGAATGATAGGTTGGACTTTAGCAACAACGAAAAACGAATGGTGGGTTGGACCGTGACAGAACTAGGGCCATGAAATGATGCAACAAGATAAACATGATGCCGTCTGTTAAATAATGCAGCGCAAAAGTCAGACGTCCGGAAAAGTGGCCTGGAAAAAGGAAGTAAAACCTTCCAAAATACTACCATTGAATCTCTTTTTTTTTTTGGTCAACATTGAATGTGCCCCCAACTTTATCACTCTGGTCGTGACTTAAAACCTTCCAAAATAATAAAATGTTATTTTAAATTTATTTACATATATTTATTTTTTTAAAAAAATAAAAGTAATGCAAAAAAGCGGGATTGTATTTAATTAGTTTTTTTTAATGATATTTCTTCAAAAGAATGTGACGAAGACTTAGTTAAAGTTAAATTAATGGGAGAATCAACTGCAGTAAAACTGTAAAAGTGAAGAGATATTTTGATGCAGACACTTACGTTGGGTAAGAGCAGGCAATAATTGACCTCTGTGAGAGCCACGTTGCCTTTTGAGAAATGGGTTAATGTCTCGATTGCATAACAAAAGATCTAAATCTAATGGTGAAATTACTACTGAGCCCCTCAATTTTTGTCATATGAGCCTTTCGTCTTCGAATCTCAAGGATAAATACTAGAATTTTAGGAAAATAACAAATTTTTAAGGACTAAAGAAAAAACTTGAGGCCAGATAATTAAAAAAAACAATAAATGAAACTTTAATCAATTTTGTGGGCCTCCTTTCCTCTTGTCCTGCTATTATGACAGCAGATACAGTAGAATCACCTGTCAACAGCTTTTGAAATCATATAAATCCAGCCCGGGGGTAGTATTTCATCCCATTTGCTGTGCTAGTTTGCGAGCATTTTCACTGTTTTCAGAAATATCACTCATTCCTGAAGAGATCATGGCCGAAGCTCTTCTCTCTGCTGTCTTCAATGTGCTTTTGGAGAGATTAACGCCTGGGCTCACAGATTTGATCAACAAAATCGTAGGAAAGAAGCTGGATGACAAGTTACTTAATCATTTGAGGCCATCCTTGATTGCTGCAAGAGCTGTGCTCAGTGATGCTGAACTCAGACAATTCAATAAGGATGAAGCTGTGAACGAGTGGCTGAATGGACTTAAGGATGCTGTTTATGACCTGGAAGACTTGATGGATGAAATTTCCACCCGAGCTGCCACTCAGAAACAGGTTCCCTATTTCCCCTTTGCTTCTCTTACTTTGCGTGATACAAGCATGGCAAATAAGTTAGAAGAAATAAGTGATAGAATTGAATATATTGTGCAACAAAAAGGTGCCCTTAAGCTGAAGAACACTGAAACGTCTTCGGAAACGCTGTCGCGGAGGCCTCAAGTTACATCTCATGTGGAAGTCTCACAAGTGTACGGAAGGAATAAAGCAAAAGAAGATATAATTAAGCTTATGTTTGAGGGTGAGGGTGGTCCGTTGTCTGTAATTCCCATCGTGGGCATGGGCGGAGTTGGGAAAACCACCTTAGTTAATTTAGTTTACAAAGATGTGAAGCAAAATTTTGATCTCACTGCATGAGTCTGTGTTTCTGAAACATTTGATCTTTTAAAAATAGCACAGACTATAATAAAATCTATTGATCAAAATTTTGTTTGTGATGATATGGATTTGAATCTTCTTCACCATCATCTAGCGAAGAAGATAGAAGGGAAAAAGTTTTTAGTTGTTCTTGATGATTTGTGGAATGACGACTACACTGAGTGGTGTGATTTGAAGAGTTTGCTTTACAATAGAGTGGAAGGATGTAAAATCCTTGTTACAACTCGCCACGAGCGCGTTGCTTTGACGGTTACAACTATCCCATCATCTTATCACCTAGATGTCTTGTCTGACGAAGATTGTTGGTCAGTTTTTGCTGCACATGCTTTCCAATTTAAAGATTTAACTGTGAATTCCTGCTTAGAAAAAATTAGAAGGGATGTCACTAGCAAGTGTAGAGGATTGCCTTTAGCAGCAAAAGTACTTGGGGGACTTTTTAAATCACAGCTTCATAAAGATTGGAATAATATATTAAAAGAATCCTTGTGGGATTCATTCGATGACAAGATCATTCCAGCTTTAAGAGTCAGTTATTATTATCTTCCTTCCCGTTTAAAACAATGCTTTGCTTACTGTTCTTTATTTCTTGAGGATTATGTATTTGATAAGGATGAATTAATCATGATGTGGATGGCAGAAGGTTTTTTGGAGACCACAAAAAGGAAAATGACTTTAGAAGAAGTTGGTGATGGGTATATTGGTGATTTGACTTCAAGATCATTCTTTCAACCCTTACCCAAAAATCAGCAATACTTTTCACATGGGTATGATATAAGAGATAGGCATTTTGTAATGCATGATCTCATTCATGAGTTAGCAAGTCATGTTGCCGGAGACTTCTACTTTAGATTAAGGGAAAATAGAAACGAAATTGGTGTCATGACTCGCCATTTGTCAGGCGACTTTCCAATTTGTCCAGACTTAGATCATGAGGCTTTTCAAAAATTAAAAGGCTTACGAACATTTATAGGATTGAGTTTTTACTCTATTTTTGGGCCTTTTGAAAATGCTTCTCATATTCTATCATCTAACCTGAGGTACCTGCGAACGTTGTCACTTGTAGACCTGCCTAATTTAAAGATGGTTCCCGAGTCAATTGGAAAATTCATCCATTTGCGCTATTTGGATCTATCTGACACAGACATTGCAAGTCTACCTGATTCAATCTGTAAGTTGTATAATTTACAGACATTAAAGTTGTGGCAATGTCTTTCTCTCCTGACTCTGCCAAGTGACATGCAAAAACTTAAAAATTTACGATATCTCGACGTCAGACGCACTTTGTTGAAAGAAATTCCGAGGGGGCTGGCTAAATTAAAAGATTTGCAATTTTTAAGTAACTTTATTGTTGGGAAAGAGGAGGAGACAGGGATTACAGAATTGGGAGAAATTTCAAATTTGAAGGGTGGGATTGAAGTTAGTCAGCTAGAGAATGTCAAGAATGAAGATGAAGCAGATGGTGCAAGAATGATGGAGAAGGAGCGAATTGAAACTTTAACATTATCATGGTCGGGTTTTGGTGATGCGGAAGATTCAAGCAGGGAGAGAAATATTTTGGCCAAACTTCAACCTCATTGGGATTTGAAAGAATTAGAAGTTAAATGTTATAGGGGCACAATATTTCCGGATTGGTTGGGAAGTCCTTCCTACCACAACATGAACTTGTTGCAACTGGTGAATTGTGAAAATTGTTGCATGCTTCCCCCTTTAGGACAGCTCCCCGCTCTGAAGACATTATCTATTAGTGGATTAAAACGTGTAGAAAGAATTGGTGATGAGTTTTTGAAGGTTGATGATTGTTCTCCCATGGTACCATTTCCATCCCTTGAATATCTTTCCTTTTCAAGCATGGAATCCTGGGAACAATGGCTTTCCACTAACATGGAAGCTTTCCCTAAACTTCGAAAACTCACAATAACTTCCTGCCACAAGTTAGTTGGAAGTCTACCTTCTCAGTTGCTTTCTTTAGAAACTTTGGATATTATATATTGTTCATTGTTTTCTTCTCCTATTCCGAGGTGTCCCAAACTTCAGAGTTTGCGCACATATAGAACTGGAAATGTGGTATGGCAAGAGCCAGAGTTACCTCAGGCCCTTTGCACTCTAGAAATTTTAGATTGCCAGATGTTGGAATCAGTGTCGGAGGCACTCGCTAAACCTTCACATCTGCAAAAATTACGTATCATTGGTTGCCCCAATACATCAACTTTAATGATTCATTTGCTCCAGTCATTACAAGAATTATACGTACACTTGAGTAAAAATATTGATTTTGTGATGAGTTCAACCGCTCCTCTTCAAAGTCTTTGGTCTATTTATATTCAGAGTTGTAGTTTTGTGAAGTTTATGATAGATGACATGGAAGGTGTCCTCCCAAATTTAAGAAAGCTAATCATATTGGATGTTAAAGGGACGGAAGGATTTCTAGAAGGGCCTCTTGTGCCGAGTTTGAGAGAACTTTATGTTGATCCGTGTAACATAGAGTTCTTAATATCCCATCAAGCATGGCACCTCCTAAGAAATATCACTTGCCTTAGTATTTCTGGTCCAATTGATGAAAGTTATGTCACCAAGTGTTTTCCAGAGGTGGGTTTTCTTCCTACCACTCTCACCACTTTGGAAGTCCTTGGCTTTAGTGACTTGGAGACATTGAATTGCACGGGACTTCAGCAACTAACCTCTCTCCAAAAACTAAAGATCGGTTGTTGTGACAAGCTGGAGAAAATGTCTGGGGAAAAGCTGCCTACTTCTTTAACAGAGCTTCACTGTTGGGTTTGTCCATTGCTTAAAGAAAAATACCTCAATAAGGATGAACAACTTTTGCGCCAGATATCCCACATCCCACTCATCAACATACGTTGAGGTACAATCATCCACGAGGTATTTATATGTCCACAATCTTATTCCCAAGTATTATATTTTGCTTGTTCATATAAATGCACTGAGAGACCATTATGCTTACATATAAATGTTTCTCAATATTAATTTTCTTACATTTTTGGAACCGCTTCTTACATTGGTTAACCTTTTGGCAATTTTATGTGATATTAACAAAATTATTTGTTTTGTTGTTCTTCGGATTCCAGCACGCTCTCTTCCCCTCTGTTTTTTTAAACTTGCTTTAGCTATTTTTTTTTAACCTTGTTTTTTGGTTTCTTTTTCATTGTGTCTATATATGAATACAAATGTATTGAGAAAAACAGTACGATTACTATCTTTAGATATATTTAAATAATTGTTTTTTAGAAATTATTGCGCACCAATTATGTGCGATTTTTTTAAAACCAGAACTGAAAATGCTCCTTGCTGATTTGCATCTTGACAAAATCATTTTTATGAGCTCGAATGATGAAAATGAACAACAATTACAACTGGTATTACTTGTGTTTAGTTTATGTTTTTGTAATATAATATGTTGTATATATTCTGTTTGTGATAGTTTCCTAATGAAATTTAGATCACTATAATTTGCAACTTCATGAATTAAATTGAGGTAGCAATCTCATGTATTTATATTAAATTAAATTATTATGAATATTTGATGACAGAATATAATGATGCAATTCTAGAAAACATTTGATGTGCTTCAGAGCATTAATTCATTACCGTAGCTACTTTAATTACATATCCTACACTGAAACATTAACGATCTCAACGCTATCCCTTATATTTACAATTTCATTACTTCAAATATTAGCTTTAAAAAGTTTTGTTTCTGCATCAGGTGTTTTGTGGCTCACACATTATTCAATCATGTAATCGGAAATCATTCACAAATAGTAATCATGAGGGTACACTTCTTGACAAGTTTCCATCTACAAAACGGATAGCATTTCTTTCTCTGTTTTTTTTTTTTTTGGGATAATTTATCTTAGTTTGATTGAGTTTTTCTTCTCATGGGGTTGTTGCAGGTACAGTCCAACATGGTCTGTTAGTTCTAACTGATAAAGGAAACGAAGAGTGCTTCTTCTTCTTCTCAAAGTGTAGTGCTCTAATTAAGATCCTTCATATATTCATTCCTACTCTGAAGAGGTTTAAACTGAACCAGAGCCTTTGATTTCTTCTTTCTCTGGTAATCTGTTTGTTCAGTTATTCTGCTATATATTTGCTTTGATTATGATTAACTTATTAGCAAGTCACTTGAAGATCATGGATTGCCATTTCCACTTTTTTTAATCTCTCTTGTGTTGTCTTTGAACTTCCCTTCCGTATGCTTAAAACGCAGCAGCAAGAGGGACAGAGAGGGATTTGTAGACTCGAAGCTGCACTGAGAAGAAAAGCTCATCAAAATCCGATGAAGTCCATCATCTTAGCCTCTCGACAAAAAATTCTCTGATTTGCTGGGACTGTCCTTTGTGTGATTTGTCTGCATTAATTTTTTTACTTTTGAAGATACTTGTTGGGTGCTTGTGTGCTATATGTATATTGAATTCTTTTCTTTTTTCTTTTGGGTTTGGTGTGTCAATGATAGGAGAATGAGTTATGTATAATGTGTTGCAAATATTCATTACTTAACGAAAATTCTCAAGCTTCATGCTTGGGGAGAGGATGTAGGATTCAATTTTTTGAATCTGAACCTCTATATATCGTGGTGTCATTTTATTTTATTTTATTTTTATAATTCCAAATCACCAAAAAGATTGTATGTTGAAAAGCAAGTAATTAGGTATATCACTTTGTTCAGTGAAGTGGACAAGCTTGTTATGTAGAAAAATATATACTGGAGTGAAGATGGAGCAGTTATGCCTTGGTTCTTAAAAAAAAAAAGTCTTTAATGCCCAAAGCGTGTAATGCGAACCTCTAGGTCAATCAAAAGTTTATTGGGTTCAAAATAGTTGTATGCAGTACACCTTTGGGATATACTCCTCATTAATATAACAATAATTAATTTAAAAAAATTAAAAAAATTAGCTAAATTAATTATTATTAGTATTAATTTTTTTTCAAACTATTATCTTTAATCATATATATTGGGTTGATTGTAATTATCCTTTGGTGATAATTTCTTATAATCAATAGAAATATTTTTTAAAAAAATAAAAGATAAAATAAATCAGGATCTTATAATTGTTAATTAATTATTATATTAAGTTATCGGATCCAGTAATATAAAGCAAAACTCCCACAAACAAACACAAATATACAAACAATACAGCACATCAAAGCTTGTGATAATGTTGTTGCATATATTCCAGGATGAAACGCTCATATGACAAAAATTGAGGGGCTTATTAGTAATCTCACCAATAGAGTGAGATCATTTGTTATGCAATCGAGACGCTAATCTTTTTCTCAGGGTATGTTTGGATTGGCGTTGGGCAAAACTGACTTTTAGCTCAACTGACTTTTGTAACTGAAGTTAGAGTAAAAGTCAGTTAGAGTATGTTTGAATAGGTGCTTTTGAAAAGTTAGTTAAAAAAGTTGAAAGTTGTTTGAATGATGAATAAAAAAATTAGTTTAATTGTAAAATGACTAAAAAGGACATGAACTTTATTAAATAGTAGTTTTTGAAATTTTATGTTTTTAATGTGATAATAGGTTAAAAAACCATATAAAATTATTATGATAAAATATAAATAGTTTAATTGTGAAATTATGAAATAAAAATATTTGTGCCGGAGAAAAATTAAAAAATACATTGCAAATAATTAATTAAATATACATAATGGACAAACATGAATATAAATTAAAATTCATTTAGTCTGTAATTAAAGTAAACGAAATAACATAACTAATTAGATAGTAAACTTTGCACAATTTGGTCTCTAATTGAGTCACGAACACGATTCATTTGTGCAGCAGATGTTAAACTTGATGAGGATGCCTCACCAGTTGCATGATTATTGTCTTCATCTATTAGACTTCCATGTTCAGCTTCTATAAAATGATCATCAGTTGGAGAATTTTGCCTGATAAAATTATGGACAGCCATTGTTACACAAATTATGGAGACCTGTGTTTGAAACTTGAATCTGGGCATATTTCTTAAGATTGCAAACCTATTCTTCCACACTCCAAAAGTTCTTTCAATAGTGGATCTCAAACTTGAATGATAATAATTGAAGGCCTCATTCATATTTGTAAATCTTGGGTGACGATTAAAGTCTGGAAGGTGATAACGCTCACGTCTGTACGGGCCAAGGTATCCCACTTGTGATGGATAACCAGCATCAACTAAATAATATTTTCCTAAAAAATCATGACTCAATTATATTGAGGTGAAAATAATACAAATGAAGCTGAATTTAAAAATAATTAATTTGGAAATCAAAGAAATATACCTTCAGGTGGATGAGGAAAATTCAGGGATGGAGTTGAGATAGCAGAATGAAAGACACGAGCATCATGTGCACTACCTTCCCAGCCCGCCAACATGAACGTGAAACACATATTCCAATCACATACGGCTATGACATTTTGACTAGGAAATCCCTTCCTATTGATATATTTGTCTTGCCTAGCTTGACAAACCTTACATTTTATGTGGGTACCATCAATTGCTCCAATTGCATCTCTAAAAAATGGGAAGTATCGTGGATCATTTGTTATTTTTGGGTGACAATAGGAAAATGTAGGATCAGTTGGCCTGATATTTTCTCAAGATAAATTGAGGCAAGCAGCTAACACTCGATGAACATGCCAACTGACAGTTTCTCCTGAACGCTGAAACCTTTCCTGAATCATCCTATTACATTGGCCATGGGCAATTATATTCAAGAACATGGCAATAGATTCATGGACACCTATGTACTTAGTATTTTGTAACCCATGTTCAACCAATTTAGAACATAATCGATGGAATGTCTCTGTTTCCATTCGAAACATATCCTTAGATCGTCCTTCATGCCCGTCTAAAAGTTCTTGAACCCACAAATAAGCAGTTTGTTCACTAGTTCTACATGGTTGTTTGCACAGAAAAGGTGTCACATACTAACCCATTAACACACTTAGTTCTGATAATTGTGTTGTGTATTCATGTAAAGCGGGAAGTAATTGAGACCATTCATCTCCCCCATCATACTCCTAACCCTCGCCCCAACCCTCTGTTGAATCAGACACAATAGATGTGTGTTACTTGTGAATAGATAAATACTAAATATAAGTAAAATTTTCACAAAAAAGAAAAGAAAAGATAATACACAAATTGTCATTGAACTTTAACATAATAATTAAACATAGTCATGAAACACACGTTAAACTTGGTCATTAAACATAGTCACAAAACACAAAACATTAAACCTAGTAATTAGATACATCGTCATAACACATAACACATAATAGTACATTAAGGTAGAAAAACAGAAGTCATAACAAGTCTGCTGGCACAACTCAAGGATTCTTGGGTGCAGCATATGGCGGTGGATTTGCAGCATTGTGCTTCAACCAAGCCACTAATACCTCCTAATTTTCTCTTAGACTAGCATATATGTCCCTGAAAGTCTTGTTTGCCAGCAGATTACAACACATGACACAAAGATGAGTGTCACTGACAATTTCCTTCATACTCAGCAGATCAGTGGTCAGCTCGGTAGTGTTGTCACTGTTGGCCAATTTGTTTACTGCCGCTGCTGTACTAATTGAAGCCTTCTCAATTGAGCTTACTGAATCTGCTATTCTTTTTGTCGCTGACATTTTTTGTTTCTTATACTTATCCAACCCTCCACCTCTCTTCCTCTTCCCTTGGCTCCCTGAACCAATAGGTACACTGGGTGTAGTGTTTGATGTGTTTGCAGTTAAATTGATGCCGTCCAAATCATCCGAAACTCCTGCAGGGCGTTCAGTGTCAACACCTAAAAGGCCATCTTCACTGTCCCCTGAATCTTCTTCCCAATCCATTGTTGGTCGGTAATCATTTGACTGATCAGTCCTCTGTGGCTCAGGCTGTGGCTCAGGCTGGGTTGAAGAAGGTGACCACATATCTTGTCCTGATGCCATAGTGCCCCTGAATAGAGTTTCTAATTCAGTCCGGAATTTTAACCCATGCTGCTTAAACTTTTCGTATGCTGGATTTTCCTGCAAAGCCAAAAGTAAACAAAGGTTAAATTATTTTCAGAAGTCACTAACTGCTTAAAAATTAACAGAAGTTAGTTCATACCCGCTTCTTTCTCTCCCACCACTCATCAAATGCAACCACTGTGTTCCTTTCAGGGTCCCACCCTATGCTGGTCTCCTTACCAATTAGCTGCTCAAATAGCTTCCACTCTTTCCTCAAGTTATCCAATCTATTTTTTAGCTGTTTCTTCTCATATCCTCTCCCTGTCTTTTCATTGAATGTTGTGTGAATGTTGTCCTAGCCTGGCTTTGTAAACGAGGATCCTTGACGATGTTTGTTATAAATTTGGTCCATACATATTTTGAGAAAAACACCAGTAGTGCTTACATCCCAATACACTTTGCCTTTATCGTTACTCATTGTTCTTGATGAAATTACATATGTATCAAATTCACAATAAATTTAGAATCAAGCAGTAACACACACGAATAAACCCACAATTAACAGTGTCTGCTTAAACTTTTTATTTAAAAACAATCAATCAATACATTTTTAAACTAATAATGTTCATATGTGTTATCCACTTTATATGCCATAGGACAACCCAACCACATCCCTCTTCACTAAGAGCACAAAATTCTAAATGAATTCCCTGAATAATAACTCCCACGTATTCTTAGAAAGATTAATATTCCTAGAAGCATTTCGAATGAGGCAGATTTATCAGATACTACCAGCAAATTTATCAGATACTACCAAGACATAAAAATTAGCAAATTTATCAAATACTACCAGGAGACAAAAATCAGCAAATTATCAGATACTATCAGGACACAAAAATCAGCAAATTTATTAGATAATACCAGAGAATTAAAACCACAAACCAGGAGCAGATGAGTTCGAAGAATAATGAAGCAAAACGGTTGATGTCAACAGATATATACATATATATGCATCACACATAAGCGACCTTACTTGCGACTTGAAGCTGCGAGTTTGAAATAGGCCCACGCAGAAGAGATCACGGAGGGAGAAGCGCCGACACACAGTAAATCAAGTGAAGTAGAACAAAGCTGACGACTTGCTTCTCGGCAGCCACGGTCAATCGAGTGGAGAGGAAATCAAATGAAGCAGAGATGGCCGGATGTACGGGAAGCATAGCTACACATCGATGAAGGACGGTGAAGCTCAACAGATCCAGTGAAGCAAACGCACTGAGGATGTAACAAATAGAAGGGGCGAGCTCGGTCGAACAACTGGAGGACCACACTGATATGTAACAAATACTCCGGCTGATCTTTGGCACATCCAACTGTGAACAAAGTGGCGAGCTCGGTTGAACAACAGGAGGACCACCTAAAATGGAAGAACAAAATGGGAGAGCGTAAGGGAGAAGAGCAGAGCACAATGCTCCACGGTGTGGGAGAAAATGGAGAGAGTGAAGGAAGGAGAAGCATCGGCGACAATCATGGATGGAGATGCGTCGGAGAGAAGGAGGGAGGGAGAGCAGCCGGTGACGGTGGAGAACCTCTACGGAGGGAGTGACTGAAGCAAATGAATTCGGGGAGAGGGAAAATGTAGGGAGGGTTAAAACTAGTAGGTGATATTTTTATGATCTAAGCTACGTTTGGATTGCCGTTTCAAATGCTGAAAGAGCCTAGGAAATTGTAAAACCAACGTTTGCAACTGAAGTGAAGAAAAATGGTTGTTTGGCTGGAATATCTTATCCAACCGACTTCTATGGCAAACGGTGAACGTTGGCAACGCTGAGGAGAGCTACTTCTGGAGCATCGGAAACTGAAGTCTACTGTTATGGGGCATTTATTATATCATAAAAATATCACCTACCAGTTTTAACCCTCCCTACATTTTCCCTCCTCCCGAATCCATTCGCTTCAGTCACTCCCTCTGTAGAGCTCCTGCCCAATTTGTGTATTATCTTTTTTTTCTTTTTTCTTTTGGTGAAAATTTTACTTACATTTAGTATTTATCTATTCACAGGTAACACATATCTATTATGTCCATTATGTATATTTAATTAATTATTTGCAACGTATTTTTTAATTTTTCTCCGGCACAAATATTTTTATTTCATAATTTCACAATTAAACTATTTATATTTTATCATAATAATTTTATATGTTTTTTTTAACCTATTATCACATTAAAAACATAAAATTTCAAAAACTACTATTTAATAAAGTTTATGCCCTTTTTAGTCATTTTACAACTAAACTAACTTTTTTATTCATCATCCAAACAACTTTCAACTTTTTTAACTGACTTTTCAAAAGCACCTATCCAAACATACTCTAACTAACTTTTACTCTAACTTCAGTTACAAAAGTCAGTTGAGCTAGAAGTCAGTTTTGCCTAACGCCAATCCAAACATACCCCTAATAATTGCCCCATAACGGTAGACTTCAGTTTCAGATGCTCCAGAAGTAGCTCTCCTCAGCGTTGCCAACGTTCACCGTTTGCCATAGAAGTCGGTTGGATAAGATATTCTAGCCAAACAACCATTTTTCTTCATTTCAATTGCAAACGCTGGTTTCACAATTTCCTAGGCTCTTTCAGCGTTTGAAACGGCAATCCAAACGTAGCCTCAAAAGGCAACGTGGCTCTCACAGAGATCAATTATTGCCTACTCTTACCCTACATAAGTATCAGCATCAAAATATCTCTTCAATTGTGCTACAATTGATTCCCCCATCAATTTAACTTTAATTAACTCTTTGTCACATTCCTTTGAAAAAATATCACTAAAAAGACAAATTTAAATACAATCTCGCTCTTTTGCATAACTTTTATTTTTTAAAATAACGTTTTATTATATTATTTTGGAAGGTTTTAAGTCATGACCAGAGTGATAAAGTTGGGGGAAGATTTAAGGAGAAATTACCAATAAAGACTGCTGAATATATAAAATTGTGATTTGGGATCCTAAATTTGAAAAATAGCAAATAAGGACCCGATTCCACTTTTGCAAATATGAAATGTGGGTGAATGTCTGAAATGCCCCTCAGTCAAATTGTGATTTAATCTACTGAAGTTTTCATTTGATAAAGTGAACTTGTCATTTCTTATAGTCAACTTATTATTTGGTATACCCTCAATCAAGTTGTGATTTGATCTACTGAAGTTGTCATTAGTTAAAGTAAACTTGTCATTTCTCATAATTAATTTGTTATTTGGCTGAGAAGTATTTCAGACATTTTACCCACATTTCATATTTGCAAAAGTAGAATCAGGTCTTTATTTGCTATTTTTCAAATTTAGGATCCTAAATCATAATTTTATATATTTGGGAGTCTTTATTTGTAATTTTTCCAAGATTTAATGGTATTATTTTTTAAAAAAAATTACAACTTTTCCACACCACTTTTCCAGACGTTTCTGACCCTTATACAGCATTATTTAACAGGCGGCATTATGTTTATCTCGCTGCATCATTTCATGGGCCTAGTTTTGTGTTTGTTATGGTCCGGTCCACCCCACCATTCGTTCAACCTATCATTCAAGGATTAGTTTTGCACCAAATTTAAGTTATTTTATTTCAAATTTTTAACAATTTTTTGCTTTCATAAATATAAAATCTTGAATAAAAATATGCTTCTAAGTGTTGTTATCGTGTAAAAGAATGAACTTCCAATTTAAAAAAAAATCATAAATAGAAAAATTTTAAATTTAGACTATCTAAATTTAATTTGCAGTTAGGCAGCACAACAATAATTTTATTCTATTTCTGGGTCTTTCAAGAGCAGAAATTATTACATATGCAATGTTCATCCATACAATAATCTCTTCGGGGGAAAAAAATATTTAAAGGATATAAAAATGAAAATATTTAATGAAAAATATATCAGCAATATAAAGCCAGCTTGACTGATGGCACACAAGGATAGGATGGACTATGGACAGAAGTATGATATTGTTCAATTCCTCATTATGCAATAAAGAAATTTATGTTCGGTCCAAAAAAGAAATTTCGGTAAACATTCATTACTTATAAAACTCTCAAGCTTCATGACTGGGGAGAGGATGTAGGATTTAATTTTTGAATCTGAACCTCTATATATCATGGTGTTATCTTAATTATTTTATTTTATTTTCCTAAGCTTCAAATCATCAAAAGAATCATATGTTGTAAAGTAATTAGGTTTATCACTTCTTTTCTTCAATCAACCCAAAAAGATGGCTCGCATAATAAATATGAATTCCTTTGTAATAAAAATTTCAATTTCTCTCTTTCTTTTCCTTCCTTGCTTCTAAGTATTCTGTGCTACTACCTTCGGTCCTTGCCGTAGTGTGATATTCAATTTGGTTTTAAATATAAGATTTCAATCTATTTTGTCTCTTATATTTATTTATTTTTTTCTTAAAGTAGTTCTTGTAGTAGTTACATATGTTAAAGGTTTCATCAAATAGTACTTCTAGCTAATGCATATGATTAGTAAGAGTATTTTAAGAAAGACAGCACCTATTTATTATAAATAACTTAACTAATTTTCTTAATTTACTTAAATTAGTCAACTAACTTTTATATTAAGGAACGGAATTAGTATTTAGTATATGCTTATTTTATTGTGGTTCAAGTATTATAGAACATTTAGTGATAGGTAAATTGTTAATATACTAGAATAAAATTACAGTTTTGCGCCAATTTCTGCTTAAAATTAAAATAGTAAAGAAGCTTCCTTTTATGAACAATGCATTTAACAACTAGCTTTTCTAATTTTTCTACGGTGAAAATGTCATTTCCCTTGCAAAAAATAGAAGGAAAAAAAACTAACCAACAATACATACACACATACAGAGGGGAATAGATAAATAGGATGAAAGGTTCTTGACTACCTATTCTAAAACCTTAGTAACGGCAAAACATACAACATTGGACTATTATTGCTCTTGACACTTTTGAAGCATTACCAAATTACCTGCAGATGACCCTTTTTCTCCCATGATCAATGCAGTTATTTTTAAATGTTACCTCCTCTGCACTGTTAGTTAACGAATCTAATGACCGAGCTATAAAATAACTGCATGTTCACTGCAAAATCATAGTGTACTGAGAGATGTTCCATTGATCGACTTTCATGTGTGCACTTGTTGCATATGTTCTTGTATCCACCTGCATAGCCAGAGAGTGGGAACAAAAGAAAAGCTCCAATGGACATTAAAATATGAATACACGGGCTTTCTTTTTTGAACTGATAGCTATTGCTTTTCAAGCTTGAAAAGAGATAGGCTTTAGCCTTGTTCACTTAGATTCTTGTATCCACCTGTATGTGATGATCCTTAAAACACTTTTCAGTTTGATGTAAATTCATGATGCTTTCAATTTGATGTAAATTCTAATTGATAAAAACGGCAAGGTGCATCGTTATTCCAATCAAGAAGGTTTAATTTTACCTTCTTGA